GGGAGACGCTGAGGCTGGAGGCCAGCTACTGCTCCAGCCAGCCCTTCCCAGTGGGAGAGCTACAAGAGGAGGGGCCATCTGTGGCCCACAAGCAGGAGATAAGCCAAGCACTTGACCAAAACTAGTTTGTGTCTTAGAATTTAACTTATTATGAGTACAGTATGGTGGCTGATGCCCATAATCCTAGCACTTTGGGAGGCCAAGGCAGGCAGATCACCTGAGGTCAGGAGTTCAAAAATTAGCCCGGCGTGGTGGTTCGTGCTTACAGGTAATCCCAGCTGCTTGCAAGGCTGAGGCAGGAGAATTGATTGAGCCCGTGAGGTGGAGGCTGCAGTGAGCCAAGATCACACCACTGCACTCCAGCCTGGGTGACAAAGTGAGACTCTGTCTCCAAAAATAAAGATAAAAAGAATTTAACTTATGCTGTTGACTAGAGGAGGAACACAGCTATCTTCAGTGGAGCCCTGGGAGAGTCATTTCCTACCTCAGGGCTTCTGGTTTACCTAGAAAGGAAATGGATCCATCCCTAACCTTCTATGACTCCCAAGCTAATCAACCAAAGGGGTACCCCTGCCATACCCTCCCTGAGCCTGCACTGCCAAAAGAACCAGGTGAGGACTGCTCCCACTGCTGGAAGCTTAAAGAACACAGAACTGATTCAAGAACCCACAGGGCCAGGGACCCTCAGAGAGAGGCCAGCCTTCAGCCAGGCCTCAGTGTGCTAGAATAACCTGGGAGGTGTCAACCAAGCAGTCACCCTAGGAAAGGGACATGGCAGGTGGAGCCCAGGTCTCCTGGGATATAAGATCCAGCCAAAACCAGGGGAGTGGAGGATCTGAACCTGAACAAGCTCCTCTGACCAAGAGGTCCCTTACACTCAGCAACCGTAAACAAGCCCTGGGTCTCCACCCTAAGCCAGGGCCTGGGGACCCAACGAATAGGACACAGTCACTGTGCTCAAGGAACTCAAGGTAGGGAAAGAGTTATTTGATCCCTGTCATCACTTTTGTGACAGGACACTCCTGTGGGGAGCAGGCTGGTGTAAGGGGAGGATTGTGGTTTTCAGTCCTTTATGGGCAGTTAGCTGTCGCACAAAGGGAAAAACGTCCTAGCCATAGACAGACTCCTAACTGCAGCCACAGCCTGTCTGAGCCACAGAATGAACCCAAATGACAGACACAAAGAGAGCCCTCGGTCCAGACACACCACACGCACTGACCCCCAACACCAACCACAGAAGAATCCCCACCCAGTCTGAGTCCCCAGGACAATCCCTGACCTCTTCCTCTGCTTCCAGCTCTGACCCTGCACTTGGGGTCTGGGCAGTAAAGTCACAGGCCAGGAAATTCCTGTGCTGAGCTCAAAGAGGAGGACAGAGCCTAGGGAGGAGGAGCCAGGGCATCTGCTAACGGTGCCTACATTCCAAGCTACTCAGGAGGCTAAGATGGGAGGATCCTTTAAGCCCAGGAGTTGGAGGTTGCAGTGACCTAGGAATGAGCCACTATACTCCAGCCTGAGTGACAGACCATGACCCTGTCCCTAAAAACTTTTTTTTTAACTTAAAAAAAGAAGAACTGAGTCCTCAGCCTCCCTCCTGCACCCTCATCTCAGAGAATGGCTGTACCATATATCTGGTGTCCTCAAGCCTGGGAGACATTCTCACTGCCTCTTTCTCCACAAATCCTCATATCTCAACAATTTACCACCTGCACAATCTGAGCTCTAACCACTTCCAAACAACCTCCCGCCCAGCTCTCCAAGTCAGGCTTCCGTCCTTTCCCCTGGATCCTGCAGTGGCCTCAGCTCATCACCTCTAAGCTCTGTTCCCTGCCATACATTTGCCATATGACAGCCGAGTGATTTTTCCAAAAGTCTCACCTGAATCCTCTGGCTAACATCTTCAATGACTCCAGTGCTCTTAACCAGGAATAAACTCTAAAATCTTCAGCAAAATGTCCAAATATCTGCTGGATCTTGTCCCTGCCTACATGGAGAGGTCCCAGCCTCTCCAACTCTAACTCTGGCTTCAGCATCCATTCTGCTCTCCTTCCAGTTCCTTCTCTCTCTCGGCTGCCTGAGGGAAGGTGCAGAGGCCCACAGCAGTGCTTCTCAGGCTGTCATGTATATATACCAGTCACTGAAAATGACAGTACAATGCTGACTCTGATTCAGAGATCTGGGGGGAAACTGAGACTCTGCAATTCCAAAGAGCTCACAAATGATGCAAGCATTGCTGGTCCCTTGGCCTCACTTTGAATAGCAAGAATTTAGAACACTCTCCTCCACTCAGACTCCACCTTAGCCTAACTAGCACCTACCTGATTTCCAGGACTCAGCTTAAATATCATTTCCTAAAAATAGCCCTACCTGCAGCTAGGCGTGCTGGCTCATGCCTGTAATCCCAGCACTTTGGGAGGCCCAGGCGGGCAGATCACTTGAGGTCAGGAGTTCAAGACCAGCCTGGCCAACACATGGTGAAACCCAACCTCTACTAAAAATACAAAAATTAGTTGGGCATGATGGCGGGTGCCTGTAATCCCAGCTACTCAGGAGGCTGAGACAGGAGAATCGCTTGAACCCGGAACACAGAGGTTGCAGTGAGCGAAGATTGCACCACTGCACTCTAGCCTGAGCAACTGAGTGAGATTTCATCTCAAAAAAGGCACGCTACCTAACCCTCTGAGACTAGGTTAGAGTGCCTCTACCTCCTAACCTTACATTCCTCCTGAGCTATGCTGTGCTTCTCCTTTAGAACATTCACCACGTTTTGAAACCCTGTCTGTACTAAAAATACAAAATACTAGTTGCGCATGATGGCAGGTGCCTATAATCCCAGCTTGGGAGGCTGAGGCAGGAGAATCGCTTGAACCCAGGAAGTGAAGGTTGCAGTGAGCCAAGGTCATGCCATTGCACTCCAGCCTGAACAATAGAGCAAGGCTCCATCTCAGAAAAAAAAAGAAAGAAAAGAAAAAAGAACATTCATGACGTTTAACTGTCTACCCCTCATTCCTGACATCACTTTTCAATGTTTGGCTCCCTAGCTAGACTACAAGCTCACCATGATATCTTGTTTACTACAAGGTCCGCAGAACCCAGCACTGGGCCTGGCAGAGGTGGGGTGGTGGAAAGCTCTGGGTCTGACCTGCCCAGCATCCATGTCCCCTTCTTCTCATGGTAACACTTCAATTTTCCTTTAGGAGCTATCCCTCCCCAATTCCCAGTTCTTATGGTTTAGGTTGGCGGTCATGAGTTTGACCACCAAGTTTAGCCAATTAGAGCCTTTCATCTCTGTGGTCATGGTGACTGGTTCAGGGACAAACATGTGAGCTAAGTAAGCCAATGAGCTTCTTCCCTAGGACTTTGTTAGAACTACTGGGGAAAAATATGCTTTTCTTTGTACTGGGGTTACTTCGAAGAACAGATGCTACCACCATCCTGCTGCCACAAAGACAGAGCTTGACAAAGAATGAAACCAACACAGAAGAGAGAAGGAATGAGACCGATTTCACATATGCAGTCATGCTTGCTGTCTATGCCTGCAATTTCAAAGGCAAAATTTTCCCTTTTAAGCCAAAGGGAGTTATTTTCTGTCACTTACAACCAGGAGTCCTAACTAATGTAAAATTCAAATAAATACTGGGTGTTGAATGAATTAAATGAGTTCATGAGTGAGTAAAGTCTGCCAAGAGAATTCAGGGACTCCTCCTAACAGACTGTCAGAGTTCTCCCTGCAAACTCCTGCCATCCGTGAGGACAGAGACAAGCATCCCAGAGCCACCTTTGTAGACCAAGGGAACACCCGGAACAGTGACAGGTTTCTTAGCATTATCCTGTGCAAATGAGCCAGATCAGGACAACCTGAGCTGGGTGCTGGGGCAGGCACTAGGCTAGTGGAGGTGGTCTGGCTTCCACTGCCCCTGTCCTTGGTCAGCCCTGCACCCTGTCCTGCCCCCTGCCCACCACTGATCTCTTAACCCACCCAGGGCAGGCGCTGGCTACCCCTCTACACATAGGCTCCTCAGTGCATACTGCATGACTCTGTGCATGACGAGCATCGGATATGGGACAACAACAGGAAGATGGGTGGGTTTTATCTGCTTCCTATGAGATGTCATCTTGAAAAAGATTAGGTTCAGGGAAGCAGAGGGGTGATGCAGAGCAGTGAAGAAGCGATGCCTGATTATCTCCCTGTGAGCCACTCAGAGCACAGCCCCAGGAGAGAGAGAGGAGCTGGCCTAGATGTCCCCTCAGACGACTCAGGAGGCAGGTGACTTGCTCAGTGCGAGTCCTCACTCACCCCACAAAGTGTGAAGAAGGGAGGGAGGGAGGAGGGCATGCATGCCAGTCTTTGCAGGAACACTGTCCGAGCGAAAAGTCTTCCCTGAGGACCAGCTGTGTGACCATCCTGCCAGGACATTGGACTGAAAATGACAGGGGAAGGCCATGGGAGCAGAAGGGCACTGCTCCCCCTGGCTCCGGTCCAAGAGTGAGAAGGTCCTGGAACTAGTGGCCTGGACTGCAGTCTCCCCAGGAAAAAGGCTTATGAAGGAAGTGCAGATAGGAAAATAACCGCCGCCCAGACCCAAACCTCCAGCCAACCCTTCCACGGGGCCAACTCAGAAGGGCCAGCCCAGCAGGCAAGTGCCCTTCCAGTCCCAGGAGGCCCACCGCCCAGCCCTGGGCAGTCCTTCTGGGTAGCTGCCTTCTGTCCCCCAATTTCCTCCTAGCTAGACTCCTCATTCTCAAACTCCACCAAGAGTTCTGCCAACCCCATTTCAGTCCTAGTCAATGTCCTCACTGCCCCTCGACGCAGACACACAAGTCTCTTGTCACACTTCCTCCTGCAATGGAGCTTAACTGGACACCTCCTCCAAGGTGTCAGGAAACTCCATAGCCCCCCCTGTGACAGGAGCTGCTGGGCTGGGAGCCAAAGCCACAACAAGGCTCCAAGACTTCCCGACACGCTCCCCTCCCTGCCTTCCTGAATCTAAGCCTCTTACCTTAATGGTGGGAGGCGCAGTGAGAGGAGGGGACAGCGGCCGGTCTGGGAGGGTCACATCCGAGCTGTTGGCCAGATCCTGCTTCCTGTGAAGAGGCCAATGAACAGAAAAGAGGTGAGTAAGGACCTGCCTGCACCTTCCCTTCTCTCCTTCGCTTGGCTCTGGGACAGTTTAACATACAATGCAGGCTGGGCAGAGTGGCTCATGCCTGGAATCCCAGCATTTTGGGAGGCGGAAGCTGGCAGAGCACCTGAGGTCAGGAGCTCGAGAACAGCCAGGCCAACATGGTGAAATGCTGTCTCTACTAAAAATACAAAAACTAGCCAGGCATGGTGGCGTGTGCCTGTAGCTACTTGGGAGGCTGAGGCTGGAAAATCACTTGATCCCAGGAGGCAGAAGTTGCAGTGAGCCGAGATCATGCCACTGCACTCCATCCTGAACGACAAGAATGAAACTCTTTTCAAAAAAATATATACAATGCAGAAACCACAGGTGGGAGCATTTTCTTTACTCCAGATGTACCAAAATCTATAGCAATGCTACTCTAAGTATGGTCCCTGGACCACTGGCATCACCTGGGAACTCATTAGAAATGCAGATTCCCAGGTGCTAGCCAGACTCTCCAGGAATAAGCACAGGAATCTGTGTGCTAATGAGCTGTACAGGTGATTCTGCTGCACAGTGAGGTCTGAGAACCATGGGGCTAAAGAGACCCAGGACTAGGGCTGGGTGGGAGAAGAGGGGAGAAATGGGGATTCACTCCTCCTCCGGCCCCTCTGCACACATACACACACACACACACACACGCACACGTGCATGCACACCCGCATGCGCACACATACACACACACCCTAGCCTAAGAGCTGACCTTGGGACACAGGCTGCCTGTCGTGCATCTGCAGGTAAAACTGAATTTAGTCCATGTGGGCTGGGACGGTGGAGAGGCAGCTAAACAGAGCGTGTCACCATGGCAATGTGGCTGCGACAAGTTTGCTGTGCTCATACACTCCCCACTTTCCATCTGGCCCTCACTGGTGACCAGGCAGTGCTGGTCACCATCACCAGGCAGACGGTTTGGCATGAGATCAGCCCTCAAAGCAATGGCTGCACAACAGGGCCAGCTGGGCAGAGCCTGGGGAATCCCCGGGCGAGAGACTCCAGTGTCCCGGAAAAGCCCTGGCTGCACCCAGGAGGGGACAAAGGGGCTGGGAGACCTGTATGAAAAGCTGAAGAGGGCCGGGCTGAGTATTCAAAGTCCCCAACTTTACAACTGTTTTCTCCTCTAGAACCTGCTCTGAAGCCGCTGAGTCAGCCCAACCCCCCCTCCCCGTCCCACGTAAATGGCCAAAGCACCCCACTGCCAATTCCAGAGAACACTTCTGCACATTTTCCCAGCCCAAATCCTGCCAGAGAAGCCACAGTTCCAACCCCACATCTTCCTCACGACAGAAACCCACTATCCCTACAGAGCCCGGCCCTCCAGCTTTGTAGGGGCCCAGACCCCCATCCTGCCTGGCTCCCCCTGGCCCATGGGACAGAACCAGGCTGAGAACACTTCCCAGGCAAGCCCCATAGGCCCATGTGTACCCTGCCCGCCCTTGCTGTTGACTACCCCTCCAAATGGCCAGCTAAGGAGCGAGATAAGGGGTCCGGGGACCACCTGGCTTGGCAGAAGCTCCATTCAGCGCCATTAACCTGAACCTGGCAATCCGTCTCCTGCTCTCCCATCTGCCTTCCTCCTCCTTTCTTCCCGGACCTTGCTGATGTAAGCTTTGCCAGCTGGAGGGAGGGCCTCGTGCCTGATCCAGACTGTAACTGGCTCAAGACACTAGCAGGGCCGAGACAGCACATAGGTCACATAGGTGTGTGCTCACACTGACACTCACACATGCAGAGGAAGGCACCAGCTCCTGCACCCTCTCAGCTAGAGCCACCAGCCTCCTCTGTCCATGCAAGACCCTGGACGTTGCCACTGTGGGGTCCAGCCTGGCTGCTCTGCCAGACCCCTACCTGCCTGTGCGCATGACAGAGCTGGGTCCAGCACAGCCTCACCTCGTTGTGCCACTTGGCCCTCTCCCCAGCAGCCACAGCTCCTCCTCCGTGGTCCTGGCCCTGGAGAGCCATGACAGGGTAAAGGAAGAATGATCAAACAGGATGGCATCCCCCTTGGGTCACCTTGGGCCCATGGTGAGCATGAGGTCAGCTCCACTATGAGGCTGAGGCCCAGCAAGGAAAAGCACGCAGGGAGGGGAAGTAAAGCAAGCCCCCCTCCAGAATCAATAGGGCCACTCTCAGCTTAGCAGAGGAGACGGCTCGCAGGCACCTTGATGGACCGCAGCCCTGGCTCTCCAGGCACACAGTCTAGAGGAGGGCAGATCTGGTTTAACCTCACCAGTCACTGGATGCTCTAGAAGCAGGAAGGACTCTCAAGTTGGAGCACAAGGCAGCTTCTGACCAGAAGGATCTCCCGAACGATGCCTGGGAGCTTCAAAGGCGCTAGAGCAGACATGATCATCAGTGGTGACCAGCCTCATGTAGGCTCCAACGCTGTGTCCGAAATGCCAGAGGGGGTGCCACGGTGGGCAGGATGCATGACTGCCACCCTCAAAAACATCAGAACTGGGCCTGTCGCAGTGGCTCACACCTGTAATCCCAGCACTTTGGGAGGCCAAGGCGGGTGGATCACTTGAGGTCAGGAGTTTGAGACCAGCCTGGCCAACATGGCAAAACCCCATCTCTACTAAAAATACAAAAATTAGCCAGGCATGGTGGCGCATGCCTGTAATTCCAGCTACTTGGGAGGCTGAGACAGGAGAATCGCTTGATCCCAGGGTACAGAGGTTGCAGTGAGCCAAGATCACACCACTGCACTCCAGCCTGGGCAACAGAGCAAGACACCATCTCAAAAAAATAAAATAAATAAATTTAAAACATCAGAACTACACACAGGCTCTCAGTCACAAGGTAGGATCTACCCTGCCTTGGTGTACAGATGGCTTCAAGTAGCATCTATAGGGGACAAGGGCCACACTATACCATTCTCACTCTTGACCCCAGCCCTCCCTCTAGTTGAAGAGCTAACTGCCTGTTATGGATTGTACTGTGTCCCCCAAAAAAGATATACTGAAGTTCTAACCCCCAGTACCTGTGAATATAACCTTATTGAAAATTGGATCATTATAGATATAATCAAGTTAAGATGAGGTCACTAGGATGGTCCTTAATTCAATAGGACCAGTATCTTTGTAAGAAGGGAAGGTAGGCCAGGCGCAGTGGCTCCCGCCTGTAATCCCAGCACTTTTGGGAGGCTGAGGTGGGCAGATCACCTGAATTTTGAGACCAGCCTGGCCAACATGGTAAAATCCTGTCTCTACTAAATATATAAAAATTACCTGGGCGTGTTGGTGGGTGCCTGTAATCCCAGCTACTCGAGAGGCTGAGGCAGGAGAATCGCCTGAACCTGGGAGGCAGAGGTTGCAGTGAGCCGAGATCATGCCACTGCACTACAGCTTGGGTCTCAAAAAAAGAGAAAAAAAGAAGGGAAGGCAACAATATGAAGACACACACAGTGAGAATGCCCATGACATTGGAGGCAGACACAGGAGTGATTCGGCTGCAAGCCAATACATGCTGAGGCCTGCCGACCCCACCAGAGCTTAGAGGAGGCGAGGAAGGATTCCTCCCTAGAGTGTTCAGAGGGAGCATGGCCCCGCCGTCACCTTGATTTTGGACTTCTGGCCTCCAGAGCTGAAATAATAAATGTCTGTGACTTTAAGCCATCTGTGGTCCTTGGTAACAGCCACCCTGAGAAGCAAATGCAGTGCCCAAGCCCCACATTCCAGCCTTGGCCTAGAGAGCCAAAAACAAGGAAGATGAACTAAGTCCTGCTTCTGCCTCGCCACCCCTGCTCTGATCAGCTGTGCTCAGCCTTGTCCTGCCTCAGGACAATGACATTTACACATGAGCCACCCTCCCAAGGATGGCCAGGCACAGCCCAGCCCAGCCACCAGCTGGCACCAAGATAAGATAGAGTAAGTGACGTGGTGCTTGATGCAATTCTATCCCTTTCTCTCCCACTCGGGCAAACATATCACACACGAGGAGGTAAAAGTGATGTGATTCTATCAAGCGACAACCTTGAATGTGCTCCAATGATAAGCAAAAGGTAAATCCTTAGCCCAGATGACAACTTCCTTGTGGCCCACAGGGATCTGTCTTGCCACCTGTCATGGCACTGAGATTGAAAACTGTACCCCTCAAGCAACCCAGCCCCACACCCACATGCACCTCTAAGGACGAGGGGTCCCAGACCCACACAGGAACCCACAAGGGCCCATGAGAGGAGGGGTCAGAGAGCAAGACAGCTTGGAAAGCAGAGAAGGGAAAAAGACGCCGGAGGAACATGACATACGCAGTTGAAAGAGAGGTGGGTAAGGGCAGGCTGGAGGGCCAGGTCAGCCTCTGCCACCTGGGGGGAGTCCTGGAGGCACTGCCCGTTCTCACATGGTGCTGAAGTTCCCTGTTATGGGATTCTTTCCCTAGAAGCACGGGAGATTCTGGAGCAGATGGGAGGGCTCAGGGAGACCAGGAAGCATCCTAGCCAGCTTTGATCAAATGCAAATCTCAAGAGGAAATAGTCAAAGAGGCTTGAGTGGAAGCTGAGAAGTCAAGGGCATGGTTCACCCAGACAGAACTAGACTGACCCCAGGGGGAGCCCCTGTGACAGCACCCAGGCCTGCAGGGTCCTCGCCTTCACTCTCAGAGGGCTCTGCCCCAGACCACCTTGAGGTCACTGCAGCCGCCACGTCACACACGGCTGTGGAAAATACCCCACACCTGGAATCAAGTGATTCCTGGGTTCCAGTTTGGCTCTGCCTGCTACCCAGCTGTGAGGTCCTGGTTAAGTTACCTCGCTGTGTATTGTTTCCTTCATCTGCAAAGATAGGAGTAATAATGTACTGAGGAATTAATAACAGCTGGAGCCGGATGAGGTGGCTCACGACTGTAATCCCAGCACCCTGGAAGGCAGAGGCGGGTGGATCACCTGAGGTCAGGAGTTCAAGACCAGCCTGGCCAACGTGATGA